ATACGCCTATCGAATCGTACAAAAGAAAAACAAACAAACCACACAAGACAGATTCATATTAGGAAAGAAAGTTCGCTATAGAAACACGTAACTTAGAAAAATATAATGATATCTTTCATACTCCTGAAGCTGATCTTTCCAAGGTAGATATCTATTTTAAATAAACGTCAAACGAAAACATTAGATAGAGTATACGACGTTCGCATGCTTCAAAATGGTACTTTCATGATTAGCAATAAACCAATATCTTTTGATAAAGATGAAATCTTTTTAGATAATTATAGATATAATAAATATAATGGGATTAGTAAAATTATTGTTCAAGAAAAAACCTGAACCTTCTTGGATTTGATATACGTAGAGTAAAATGACAGAGTGTTTCCAGCAAATTTTCTTACATATTTGATATAAATGCACTAAAATTATAGAGTATTACTGAGTAGAAATTTTTTTAAAGTAAAATATTTTATTTGATAAAATATTTTATTTGAAATTTTCCTATATTTAATGAAAATTGAGTATTATTATAGAATGATTTCATTCTAGTAAATTCTTGATTAAAGATCTATGTTCATATTTAAGAATTTATGCTACTTAATGTAATAACGTTTGCTATAATTTGACATAACTTCTTGTTAAATTCCTTCAAAATAGTATTTTAGATTTATCGGAATTTAGTTTGAACTTTTACAATAATTTTAACCAATTTAAATTTTTCACAACTTTGATTGTTTATAATACCTCTCAAAAATACGATTAAAAAACGAACGAATTGTGTCAATTCGTGTAGACAAGTAAAGGAGATATTTTATAATGTTTTTGAAACAGTAAGAATCTGAATGAAAATTCGCAGCTCCATTCAACAATAATACTTGCACTACCATACTAGCTTATATTTTGGTATAATCATCCGTTGTTTTAATCAATTTGAATTTGTATTTCTATTTCGACACCGAGCACTGAGATATCACCCAGCAGCTGTTTGCGTGTAAAGATTTATCTCAAGCTTTCTCACGAAAATGACTAGCTGCGTAATTTCTTACTCGCTGCAGTTCTGAAACGAATCAAGTCTTATACGAGTTGTGCCTGTAAGCTGATACTGTCTTTCCCGGAGAGAAACATACATAGTTGTGCACCTAATGTGCTCTTTCGGAGAAAAGTTTATTGCGAGAGTGGAAGAGAGAAGAGGTCCTTTTCTCTCACGCTCTTGTGAGAGTCGTAGAATAAAGAGGAAGACCCTCTCACGCGGTTGATCTCGTGGCAGTAAAATACAGAGCAATTAATCCATAGGCCGGCGACAATTGTTATCGCACCAATGAGCGACTTACTTTTGCATTCGCTGTTGAGGGTTAATGGAGAGGAAATAAGAAGATTTCGGCGAGGGACACTTGCTAACGGGAAAGGAAGGATCACGGTCACGTATTGCGAAGTCAGGAATCTGGCGTAAAAATCGCTAAATTATTATACCACAAATTTGAAGTACGAAAGAAGAATAAACTTCAATCCAATCAATTACAATAAAATTTATTTAAATCCGAAAAATGTCTTCGATCCTTCTCGACTTATGCATTGTATGTGGCTGGTAGCGGTATCTCAGGTACATTTAATATCATCTGCGAACTCGTCAAGCAGAGCCACTTTAAGAGAGGACGGAAGAAATAGAGATAGGAAAAATTATCTTGCGACCCTAGGTTTTTCTTTCAATTATTATCCGTTAGCCTCATATTATTACTCATTTATTTCGCGATATTATTTCAAATAGGGCATAATGTATTACTTTCAATTTAATTGAATTTCATCTTATTTATTACCTTCCATTCGAGTTGAAACATGTTTTAGTTTAATAAAGTATTTACTTTGTCCTTCACTTATTTTTTCGAATAATTGCTTTGTTCACTTTAAAAATTTAATGAATTCTTATTACGAATATTTAGAAAATTATTTCTTAAGTAGAATGAATGTACTGTAACGGGGTGTAACCGTTTAATTATTATATTCGCGCGATTATATTAAAAGGACACGCGTAACTGTCAATGCTCACTACTTATCCGGGAGAGCACGAGAAAGTATGCGTCAGTCAACCAATAATCATTAATAACCTATACTAAAATGAGTGGAAGCTATGTGAGATGAGAGAATCAATGAAAACACTTGTTAGTAATGTGAATTGGATCTTTTATTGTCCCTCAAAATTCACAAAAGGTCGGCCCGCGCGTTTGTTTACATGCACGCTCGCTCGTCGACAACACGCTTTGCCGGTACGCTCGCTGCTCTTTGTTATTAGAGCCGTTACATGCACGCATCGAATGTTAGAACCAAATTATTATTCATATAATCGCGATCGCGAAATTAAGCTGGCCAGCTTACCTTATAATTGCAGGCGATCGGAGAAAACCACGACAAGTCGCACAGCACGGAACAGTTTTTGTATTGTCTTTATTGTTATGCTCGCGGATCGCGAATGCGCGCACACACTGGTTTCGCCCTCGATGGCGAAACCTCACACACTCTCTCTCTCGTTCTGGCCTCAAGCTCGTAGCTGGACAGCACCTTGGCGGCTGCAACCCTGGATCACTGACTGCTGCCTTTTTGATGTGTGTAAACGTCAAGGGCACGTGAATTAATCGATGCGGTAGCGTAAGGGGACGGACACTATGATGGTCTAGGCTTCACTGGTTCAAATTCGGTCGCGCGCGTTCCGTCTGCTCGCGTGCCGAATTCCTTCGTTACCTATTCTGTCCGCTCGGCAGGTGCTGCCCTCACAGGCAGCAATTAAGCTAAATAGTCAGCGCTAATGTGACGTTTACCGTCACAGTACCTAAATGAATAAGCTTTGTGTTATATATTGAATATAATAGAATGAGGAAAGAAGCGAAAAAAGATTCCGAAATTCTCCTGAAAAAGTAAGAAATATCAATGAGATCTTTAGTATGGACGGAAGGAGGAAGCGAAAGAATGCGTAGATGTACGCATGATTTTATTGAGATATCTCCTTGAGAATTGGATATCATGTAGATTTATCTCTAGTTGATTAGCATTAGTTTAGTTTTAATTTGGCTATCTGTTTTTTCGTTTCTATTGTATTTTATTGAGCAATTAGCATGTAAGTTTATTGTATTTGTTGTTTCAATGAGCGTTAAACAATATGAATTATTACGTTTATAAACCTTTTGAGTAGTTCGCTTATGAAATACGTTCATATAAGTAAAGGTTAATCAAATAAAATATTTTTTCTATTTTCGACTAAATGAATTGTGACGGTAAACGTCAAATTAGCGCTAATTACCTAACCTAGTAGCTGCCTGCGGGAGCAGCACTTACCGGTAGACGAAAAATGTTACACTGGAATTCGGCACAGTTAAGGTTCGCGACCTAATTGCCCGTACGTGCCCCAGAGTCCTGAGTAATTGTCATCGAGCTACACAGCGTGCAGACCTGAGCCAGCCGAAAAAGCAGCATTGTTACCTGCGGCATCAAGAGTGTGTGTGTGAGGTTTCGCCATCGAAGGCGAAACCACGTGCGCGCGAATTTGCGATCCGCGACAAAAAGAACAATCAGACTTTCCCGCAGTGCGAATTGTTCCCTTCGTCTTCGTGCGTCTGCAGAGTAAAGCTAAGCTGGCCAGCTTAATCTCGCGACCGCGATTGTATGCATGTTAATTAATCTCCCGTATTCGATGCGAAGCGTGCATGTAATAGCTCTACGGACAAAGAGCAGCGAGCGTCCCGACACTGCATGTTGTTGTCAAGCGAGCGCCGATGTAAACATATACATACGGGCCAATTCTAGTGTAGCATTTGAAAGATAATAAAGAGTTTTCGTTCGTGATGTTAACAAGTACTTTCGACGTGTTTATTCCGTATTGATTCCACTCCTGTAGATCTGTAGATTTGTTGGTTGACTGACACCCGTTCCCTCTTGCTCTCCGACTTTCTTATTTGATATAGGTGATTGCGAGAGTATTTACGCGATCGTCTTAATAAAAATAATTAAACGGTAAGCAACCCCGTTACAGAATATAGCAACCAGGGGAAATATCTTCCAAAATAAAAGATAATAATCTAATATAATAAAAAAAATTATTTTGGTCTTACGAGCTTCGTAAATATTATGACTAATTTAATAATTGTTACTAGCTATGATTTGCGGGATTGAAAATGAGATTTGAAAAATTAAAGGCGTTTCGTTCGTGCTATTCGATTGGATACTTAACTGTGCAATATTTAGCAGCGAGTCATCCATGGAATACTGTTGGTCTTAATGAGAAGTTCAATTCAATAATAAGGACGAAACAACTTTAACTTTTGAAATCTCATTTCAAATCTCGCGAAGCATGGTGTGCTGAACAAGTGACAATTATTAAATTGGTCGTCATTTATGGGCGAGCTCGGAAAAATGAAATATTTTTTTCAATTTCGTTACTGATAACAAGACGAGCGTCATAATTTTATTTTTTTAATCTGGCACAGTGTTTGAGTCATTCGATATTAAAATTAAGTGTTGTACGTATTTGATATCTTCTTAATATCTCTGTGCTGTACTAAAAAAATAATTTCAACTTGTATAATGACGTAATTAGTCTTCTTGATAAAGATGACTCTAAAAAATCATTAAAACATTAGTGTTTTAGTTATTTATTTTTATTTTATTTATTTATTTTTATTATTTATTTATTTTTATTTTTAATCTAATTTGCTAAGGAACTATAAGTGAAATATTTTCGTATGATTTATTTTCACTTCTTCTTTTGAGAATATAAATTATTATATGTTAAATTATAGTTTAATCGAAAAACTGACAATCTATACAAAAATGTAAGGGCTAAACATTTAGTCACAACTCATAACATTTCTCCAAATTTTTAAATAAACCTTTTTCATATATTAAACCATAGATTCCTCTAACAATAACGTATGCATTAGAGTATTATTATCTCTTTTAATATTTTACTTTTATTAGAAGCAATTTTTGGATTTTCTAACAATTAATTAAAATTATAGGATACTACGGAGTATATAATCTGTGCAGCTATTTCTAAACTGATTGCAGCAGCCATAACATACCCATATCAAGTGTTAAGGGCAAGACTCCAAGATCATCACCACAACTATCGAGGAACGCTTCATTGCACTCTAAGTATATGGAGGTTAGAGAAAATAAAAAATAATAAAAAATATAATTCACATATCTTTTTTGTTGATGTATTTTTTCTTGTTCGTTTTTGAGACTATTTTAAAACTTACAATAGCTTGAAGATAATCGAAACAAACATTAAGTTATTAAATAAGACTACCAATGGTTTATTTTAATAATGAATTTCAAATTATTTTGTTGTGACGGAGAATTTTTGGGGGTAAACCTACTAGCAACATCTCGCTACTAACTCTCCGTTGACAACTCGGCTCTTCAACTTATTTAACGAGTACCAGACTGGTCTCCTTGAGTTGCAGCAGTCATCGGGATTTCCAGTCGGAATCGCGAAAGACATATTCGCACAGCACCAGTCCACCGCGACGGGTGTTATAGTTTGTGTTTTCAACAGATAGGTTTTTTCGTCATAAAATGGCAGACTGCTTTCCAACAGCTCGTCTTTGGTCCTTGCTCATACAATTCTAGATGTTGGTCGGTTTAGCTCTCGTAGGCAACTCTTACTTCAGGTCAGGGTGTGAGCGTAATTAATAATTAGGAAAGTTTAATTGACCTTCGAATTTACAAGATCAATAAGAAGTTTTTATCGGTTTGACTGAATCGTGTTTGACGGTCAGCTTTACGCAAATCTATGTTTACACGCCAGCGAATTTTAGCGAGAAATCCACACATCCCGATTTCCTATACCTAAGGCGAAGTTGCAGCGACATATAACTAAAATCGGCTATCGTAAACAAATTATTCGTGGCACTTTACCTCTACTAATTTGCTGGATCCACTTGGCGAAAATGACGTAGTCGGCAGTTCAACAGCTTCACAGTTTGGACAGTAAAAAGAACAGAATATTTGAATATTTTGAAAAAACGTTCATTTGTTCTATCAAACTTTTATTTATTTTCCGGAGTAGTTAAATATAGAGTACTCCTAAAGTTGGAAAGAGTATTCTAATTAAATTTTTGTGGTTTCATGGCATTGTAATAATAACAGGTCAATAAATTTAAGAAAAAATCTAGAGAGCAGAATTTAGGTTTCCGACAAAAATTGACGCGCTGAATCCGAATCTGACCTCAAAGATGATCCATAATGCTAGGTTTTCGACATATTTTAACCTAAAATTGTGAAAAAGACGATTTTTTCAGGTTATATAACATTGCGAAAAAAATGTTTTTTCTTTTTTGCTCTTTTAGGTTATAATATCTTGGAAACCTAGGTTCATGGATCATTTCTGAGATGAAATCAGGATTTAACGTGTCAAATTCCTTCGGAAACATTTTGCTCGGATAATATGTGAATTTTTAGATGAAAATTATAATGTAAGGTGGATCGAAAGAAGAAGTTAACTGGTCTTCTAAATCATCAGATCTAGCATCTTCAGATTTTTATTTAAGGGGCTTTATAAACAAGCTATTGTAACGGTCTAGTCTGATTTGCTCTTTCTCCAACTGCAAAATAGCAACCCGTCGTGCACGAGAAAACTAAAGAAAAGCGGTAATTGAGCGAAGGCGCTCTTCTCATATACATGTAAATGTGTTAGGGAAATTCAGCGAAAACAAGAACATATAAGGAGCGTGACGTCACGAGCGTGGGAAAATTATTGTTTACAATGCAAAATCAACAATTGCAAAGTTTTTTCTAATGAACAAAAGCAATTTATAGTCAATGTTGATGCACTGATCTCGAATTTCAAGTTATTATAGTCATTAAACATGTATTTGTTAGTTTAATTTAATTTACAAGTAAATAGTGTTAGTAATTTTGTAACAAATAAGTATATTGCAAATTTGAATATACGGGGTGACCCATTTTAATCGCTACACCTGGATTTTTCGAATTCCAAGACAGATAGGAAAAAATGGTTCAGACAAAAGTTGTAGGGGACGAAGGGGGCCAAACAATGGTCCTAACAAATTTGACCTTGAACTTGACATTCAAGATTATTTCAAGGTCAAGTGGTTTTTTTGAATAGGAACACCTATTTTTGACCCCGGATTCGGAAAGAGCGGAAAATTTCACGTTCAAAACCATATTGAGACATTTTTTTGCACGGTCATTTCAAGGTCAAATCAAGGTCAAACTCCGAAAAATCCATTTTAAGTCGTTTTTCCACGAGTCACAGGCTTAAGTGGTTCAAACTGATCGTAGATTTAGTTACATCACTTAATTAAAGTAAGTCCCTTCGCCTCACACTGTACGGCATGCTTGATTTAAGTGAGTCCCTTCGCCCTTACCTTGAAATACTGATTTCCGATTGTCGCACCACGATAATTACTTCAGCTTTCTCCTAAAAGTAACGTCGTGTCAATAATCTTTTTAGGCTGATAGTCAACCATTTAAGAGCCAGCCATTAATTACTATTAAATTTAAATAGTAAAATGGTATCAAAAATATTCATAATTATAATATTCGCCTGTATGTGGTTGCGACTAAAAAAGAAAAACGTTTGTCACACTTTATTAATTGTAAATTTTATAAAAAACTAATTTGATGCTTTTTGTAAAAAACAGAAATGTTGTATCTTTATTTATTTTTTCGAAAGTTATGAGAAAATTGAAGATATGAGCTGTAAATAATGTGATTGTTTAAAAAGAATAGTCATAACTTTCGAAACATCAAAAAGCATCAAAGCTATTTTTTCTAGAATCAAACTAGAAAAATAAAGTTTAATATTAAAAATGTGCGGAAAATATTAAAATCGGTCAGCAGTTTAGATATTATTACAAGAATCTTTGACTGAACAGAATTTATTTGTAAATGTGCTTTTAATGATTACATTATCAATGTTAGTGTTTTTTAAGTTTGAACGGAAATAATTCACAATATTTAAAATAAAAGCAAGTTTTAGTATTATGTGCAATTCAAATTAGAAATAATTTAATGATTATTACTTTATTATAAAACTTACAATTACAAAAGTGTGACAATCGGAACACTTGTGGCAAATACACTTAGTCAGATAAAGTTACCGTAATCTAGAAACATTTTTCTTTTTTGGTCGCGACCATATACGGGTGAATATTATAATTATTATTATTTTTTATACCATTTCACTATTCAAATTAATGGCTGCCTCTGAAATGGCTGACTACGCGCCCAACGAGATCGTTGACATGACGTTGGCTTTAAGAGAAAGCCGAAATAATTATCGTGCTGCGGCAAGAATTTATGCTGAACGCTATCAAGACAGTCGACACCCCGAAGCTATGGCTATCAGACGTTTTACTCAAAGAGCTCGTGGTGGATACATGGTTCGTCAACGTGGGCGCCATCAATATGATGAAAATGATAATCGGGTTGTGACTATTCTGGCAATAATTCATCTTGACCCACAGATAAGCGCTCGTCGAGTCGAAAGGGAAATCGGTAATCCAAAAAGTACATTTTTAAGAATTATGAAGGTGCTTAGATATCATGCATATCGTATGACTCTGGTCCAAGAGCTACAGTTTGCTCATTTTCAACAGCGTATTGTGTTTTGCCAATGGGCTTTACAAATGATAGAAAATGATCCAGACTTTTTTAATTTTGTTCTTTTTTCTGATGAGACAAAATTTCAAAGTGATGGGGAATTGAATAGACATAATTGTCATTACTGGTCTGATGTTAATCCTCATTGGATCAGAACTGTAAACCATCAAAGACGTTGGAGTATTATGGTATGGTGTGGGATTATTAATGGATATTTGATTGGCCCTTACTTTTTCAAAAAAAATGTTAATCAACACACGTATTTAACGCTAATAAGAGATGAACTACCTGTATTGATGGAAGATGTTGACTTAGAAACGCGACGGAGAATGTGGTTCCAGCAGGACGGCGCAGCACCATATTTCGCTCGAATTGTCAGGACTTTTTTGAATAATCAGTACGGTAACAGATAGATTGGTCGAGGTGGTCCTGTTGAATGGCCTGCTTGCTCACTCGAGCTTACATCACCAGATTTTTACTTATGGGGGTACTTAAAAAATGCCGTTTTTGCGGAAAGGCCCACCACAAGATTAGACATGATGGACAGAATTCGTCGAGCTTGCGATGCCATTCCAAGGCAAACTTTGTTAAACACCGTTCGACACTTCCAAAGGTACTTGACTATGTGCCTGGAAGCAAATGGTCGTAATTTCTAACATTTGCTTCGAGGCTAGATAAACACATAAGTGAGAGGCGAAGGGACTCACTTAAATCAAGCACCTTGAACAGTGAGAGGCACGGGAACTCACTTAAATCAAGCACCTTGAACAGTGAGAGGCACGGGGACTCACTTAAATCAAGCACCCCAAACAGTGAGAGGCGAAGGGACTCACTTTAGTTAAGCACCCTGAACAGTGAGAGGCACGGGGACTCACTCAAGCACCCCAAAGGAAACAGTCCTTACTACGTCCACGTCGTTGTTTCTGGGTAGCGCTAAACGTAAGGTTGACACATTTACAACAGAAGCTTCAATGATCATGAAGTTTCCGTTAAACAAACATCATACATGGGATAGAGATGTGTGGGACTGGGGGATGTCTGGTGTAATAGTTTAGCATGTGAGGCTATGAAGAGAATGGGGTTCGGATGTGCAAGTTCGATTTTTGTTTACTAGGATGTGAAAGTTTTGGGTGTATGGGTTTCCGTTTTAAATCAACGATCAATTTGAACCACTTAAGCCTGTGACTCGTGGAAAAACGACTTAAAGTGGATTTTTCGGAGTTTGACATTGATTTGACCTTGAAATGACCGTGAATAAAATGTCTCAATATAGTTTTGAACGTGAAATTTTCCGCTCTTTCCGAATCCGGGGTCAAAAATAGGTGTTCCTATTCAATAAAACCACTTGACCTTGAAATAACCTTGAAGGTTAAGTTCAAGGTCAAATTTGATAGAACCATTGTTTGGCCCCTTTCGTCCCCTACAACTTTTGTCTGAACCATTTTTTCGTATCTGTCTTGGAATTCAAAAAATCCAGGTGTAGCGATTAAAATGGGTCACCCTGTACAATTGCGATCGTAGCGTATTAAAACA